ATATATTTTATGTTTCACTGATTTTTTGCTTAATGTTGAGAATTTCCCCCACCAAGAACCGGAGGATTCCATAATTAGGGAAGAAATACAAAACAACACTTAAATCCACACTAAATAAATGATAAACATGAGCCATTTTGAGAGCAGGCTAGAAGGCACATGACCCCTGAGTGGTTCTCCAAGTGGAAGCCCAAGATCCCCAATATCAGGCTCCTTGGAGGAACAGGGTTTCAGAGCTTGTTAAATTGCAGATTCCTCAGTCCCAGCAAAGCCCCATTGAATCCTCAGATGACTCAGACATAGAACACACTCTAAGAAGTTCTGCCCTGGAGGAGAAAGTAAAGGTGGTAGTGGTTGTGTGCTGTCTAGCTGGTTTTGACTCATACAGTGACCCTGTATATACTTTTTGAGAAGCAGCTGGTGGGTTTGAACTGCCAACCTTGCAGTTCCCAGTCCAGTGTTGATCCTACAATGCCACACCAGGAATCCATGAACATTATGTATAGAAATTGTTCAATGGAACCGAATTTTCTGTGTAAATGTTCACTAAAAACACAATAAAAATATGTTTTAATGCTTTTATTCTACTAGTATCATCCTTGGTCTTCAGTGGATCCTAAATAGAGCTGAGTCATCCACCATGCCACCTGCCCTCTTCTGCCCCCATGACCAATCACTGCAGGAGGCATCAGGGATAAAATCAATGACCAGGCCTGGTCCCTGCCCATCTAAAGGGAAGAGAGACACAATACAACTCATTGGTGACTACAGGGAGTAGTCCCATGGAAGAGATACTGCAGTATACTAAGGCACCATCTCATCAAAGTTTTGTTTTGCACCTTCCTCAGGGCCTCCTTCTCTCCCGTTCTATATCATTCCAGGAACTATGGCTCCTGGTCCCCCATCCTTACCCCATCTCCAGCTGTGCCCACACATACTCGCTGTGCTTCTGGCAGCTCTGCCCCAGAAGAGGGGACACTGGGCATGAAGGAGTTCCCGGCTCCTTCTCCTCATCCCTCAGATCAATGTGACTCATCTACCAACCAGAGAACCAGCATCCCAGCGGCTGTCTGCTTAGTCAGCACTTAATAAACAGTTGTTCAATAAGAAGAAACATGTCCAACTAAATTAAAAAGAATCCCAGCAGAGAACTCAAATCTTCAATCTTGCCCCCAGAACATAAATCACAACACTTTTCACTCTTTGTTCAAGTGGTGAGTCACACAGCCATCAAGTTCTCACTCAATTGTATCATTTATTTCTCTCAGAACTAAATGCCTCACTTCGGGTTTTCTTGTTTGCCACTTTGGATTCACTTCGCCACTTGGTGTTTGCCGAGATCCTGCTTTATTGTTGTTTTCCACCACAGCTTAATTGTCAGCTGAATGGGCAGAGGTTAGGACAAGTGCCCTTGAATTTCCTGTCACCTTTCCTTTGCTACTCAAAATTCCCTTTGAGAGAACCAAGTGTCAACAGGCCTGGTCATTATTTAAGAGCCATCTGATACGATACAAGAAGAGATGTCACACAGGCTGCCAAGTCAGACACATACTGCCGGGGGCTGTGCCCTAGACGAGGGACACGGGGCAATCCAAACAGATGGTCTATGAGCTCTGATAGCCAGAAGCTTTCACGAGGGCAACAGCCGTCTTGAATGAGCTGAATCCTCAACATGGAACAAAGAAACACAGCCACCCTCTCTGCTCAAAGGAAAAGAACGTTAGGAAAATACTCGAACATTGGCTGTGTTGATGGCTACATGGATCTGCAAATATGCTAAAAAAACAATGCATTGTACACCTCCAATGGGCGAATTGTGGGATATGTGGATTGTATCTAAATAGAGCTGGGGAGTGGGGGGGTTGGTGGTTTTGTTTTGTTTTTAAGAAGGAAGAATTAAGACTTACCTGAGTTGGAAGTGGGCTTGAACTTGCCCAAGAACAATGAAAGATTTGGACAGCTGTCCAAGCTGTACCATAACCCAGCTCAGAAGACCATAAGGAGAGGGACAAAATGGTATCAGATCCACTGTTCTTAGAGGAAGGGCCTCGTGCCTCCATGCACTGCCTCCTCCCCAGGCCACTTGGTCTAAAGCTGATGCCAATGAGGCCTGATGCTCTATCCCCTTTTGAGTCACTTGCCCTGAGTCAGCCCATCCAACTAAATAGGGCTCCTCTACACTTTCAAGACCTCATCAAGCTGCCCAGTCCGCAAGGGGACAGGGTTGGAAACCAGTGAATAGAAAGTTAAAGGGAACACAGGCTACAAAATCCAAAGGGCCCAGACAATATGATCTGGGATTGCTCAGGCCCCAGGCCAGGCCAAGTTGACCTATGGGTTTGCCACCTGTCTCCCCAGCTCTTATCTTTTGTCTCTTACACCTGAACCTGTCTCTTACACTATCACTCCCTCCTCCCCTCTCTTTCAAGTATCCATCCATTCCTGTTTACCTTTTGGGTCAATGAAGTCCCCTTGACCCTCTCAGACCCTCAACTTAGGATACTAAACTGGGTGGGAAAGAATCTCCCAACCAGGCCCAGCTCAGACTTTGGCCTTGATAACTGCAGCGGTTCTCCCTTGATGGAAGAGAAGAGAGTGAAAAGGGACCAAGGTCTTTAAAGCACCAGACTCTTGTGGTAACGTGTCATGTTGAGTCGGCTATGACTCATAGTAACCTGAGGAGGGCTGGTAGGTTTGAACTTCTGACCTTGCAGTCCAGAGCTTATCCTACAGTGCCACACCAGGACTCCAGACTCTTCTTGTTGTTAAGTGCCATTGAGTCGATTCCGACTCATAGCGACCCTGTATAGGGTTTCCAAGGAGCAGCTGGTGAGCTTGAACCACTGACTTTGCTGTTCAGATGACTTTGCAGTCTGACGCATTAGCCCACAGCGCCACACCAGGACTCCAGACTCTTAGGCCTTCCACTCACATTTCCTTCCACAGCAGTGCGAGTTCACTAGCCAGAGGCTGCATTGGGGTCTGCCTCTCACTGAAGATTTTTACCCATTTATCTGAGGCCTGGCCTCAGGCCTGTGTCACCAAAGGCCATCACAACCCCTAAGCCAGGACCAGGACTCTTTCCCTGTTTCTAAAGCCCCCATGTTTTCCATTTTCTAGCTAGGTACCCCCATAGCTCTCAACTATTGGCCACACACAGATGAGTGACGGAGCAAGTGTCCAATGAAGAAGAATCAAGCCATTTTCTCTCGGGTTCTTTGGGAGCAGCTGAGGAAAAACTAGAGCAGGTTTCTGTGGGATGGGTGGGGGTGGGGTGGGGGCCGTCCCTAGAATCCTCCCAACCAAACTGGGAGACTGCCCAGAGCAGGACCTGGAAACTCTCTCTAGGGTAGCTTTGCTGCAGCCTCTCAGCCTAGCCCAGCTGTGAGCCTCGCCTGCCATTGCTGTTTGGAATGTGCTGTGAACATTCGTATCAGTGGTTTTTGCATTTTGACCTTCTTTTTGTTCTTTGATGAGTCCTGGTGTACAGTGCTTAAGCACCCAGCTGCTAACCAAAATATCCGGAAGTTTGAAACCAACTGCCACTCCACAGAAGAATGATGAATGTGGCTTGGGGTCTGCTCCCAGAAAGACTTTCAGCCGTGGAAACCCTATGGGACAGTTCTGCTTTGTTCTATGGGGTTGCTATGAGTCGGAATTAACTCTGCAGCAGTGGGTTTGGGCATTTAGTTTGTTCTTTGGCAATGTTCCTTTAAAACTCCACTTAGTCTTGGCCAATCCAAGGGAAAGAGATTTTGTCCTAGGCCTGATGCAATTGGAGGCCATCCAGGCACGGGAGACTGAGAGCTGGGGAGACTGGATTGAAATGCCTAACCCTGAATGATTATCCAGGACAGCTGGGCCACACAGTGGTCTGTCCCCTCCCTCCTATCCAGCTTCAGGACGCTTAGTCATTGGCCTGGACACAAGGGGAGGAAAATGCAAGAGTGGGGGAAATGGGAAGAGTAAGTGGGGCCCAGCTGTGGAGGAACTGTAAGTGTAGAACCGTGCGTATCCCCAGCATTTGATGCTTAGAGCTGCCCAGGGTTGTAGAAGTCCACAGAACCTCTGAATTTGCTTGAATAGCATCCTTGACGACTGTAGATCCACCAGATGGCAGTGCTACCCTGGCCTGGTCTGCACAAAGCCTGCAGTGTGAGAGAGAAGCCACCAGAGGGCACTATGGGGACAAGCGGCTCCATCACACTGCTGGTTGCCTAGCAACTGTGACGCAATGGGTTCAGTTCCACCCTCCTCAAGGCCTCTCAGGTTATTTCTGGCAAAACAGACTGTTGCACAAGGAGTGGCCTCAGGAATCCCAGAACTGCCTCTCTTTCAAGCCAGGAGGATCTAAAATGGTCCAGGGACCCCAAATCCAACACCACCCTGGCGTCTAGGAGATTGGGCTGCTGTCCCCGCATCTCCAAATGCCAGGATCAGGATCAGGGATAAGCATTTCCACTCCCCTCTGGATCCCACAGCCATTGCTTTCCCTGGTGACCAAAGCCCAGCAGTCTCCCCTGTCTCCCTGCACCAGCCCCGCCTCCTGAAGAGCTTGGATTCACAGGCGCCTGGCCTTGAGCAAAGACCTTGGGCCTCCCTCTTGTCAGCTAGAGCGGGGCAACAATGAGGCCCAGCTCTGACCTTCTGTGGTCTCTGATTCTCCCCCTTCCCCACAAGGGCTCTGTCCTTGCCCCAAACCTCTCCCCAGTTTTGATGGCCTTGAGACTAGAACTCCTCTGATTCCTAATTGATAAGTATGACCAGAGACACAAGAGATGGCACCAAGAAAGTGAGGCAGACACAAGACAAGAAGTGTGGCTGTAATGAGCTCAAAGCCGGTGCCAGTCTGGTCTGTGTGAGGCCTGGGTCAGCGTCCCAGGTGGAGTCAGGGGGTCACTCGGGCCGTGGCAACAGGCGTGGGCTCAGGCACAGCTTGAGGTCCTGAGGAGCCCCCTGGCTCTGACTGGGGCTCGGAGTCAGATCACCAAGGTACGGAGGTCTTGGAGGCTCACACGGGCATGTGCAACTCGTTGTACTCATCCTGGCCATCTTCATCGAAGTTTGGCTCGGCATCCTCAGAGTCCAGCTGCAGAAAGGAGCAGGTTGGGAGAGGCAGGGATGCGAAGGTGGCCCTTCCCAGAGGCAGCAGGGGCCAGGCGGCCAGATTCAGTTTCACATTTCCTTCTGGCCCAGACCTGAGGTCACCCCCAGGCCCCTGGCACCTCCTCATAATAACAATTAATGAGAGCAAGAAACGAAACAGAAAGACCTGTTGTTACCAATCAATTTCAACTCATGGTGACCTCATGGATCTTTCAGAAGTCAACTACTAAACCTTTCTAGGCCTTTCTTCTGGGTGGATGAGCCTCTGAGTAGATGTGAACTGCCAGCCTTGTGGTTAGTACCTGAGTGCTTAACCAGGGAATACCCAGGATCCAGCCACCACCACTCATCTGTCAGTTTGTCATGCTGTGGTGGCTTGTGAGTTGCTGTGATTCTGGAAGCTATGCCATGAGTATTTTAAACACCAGCAGGGTCACCCATGGTGGACAGGTTTCAGATGAGCTTCCAGACAAAGACAGACTAGGAAGAAGGAGTGACAAACTACTCCTGAATATTTAGTCACTGAAAACCTTATTAACAGCAGAGAAACACTGTCAGATATAGTGCCGGAAAATAAACCCCTTAGATTGTAAGGAACTCAAAATGCGACTGTAGAGCTGCCTCCTCAAAGTAGAGTTGACCATGATGACGCAAATGGAGTAAAACCCGGGGGAGAAAAGCCCACGGAACCTTCATTTGCTGATGGGGCACAACGCAAAATGAAGAGAAATAGCTGTAAACATCCATTGAAAATCGGAACATGGAATATACGAAGTATGAATCTGGGAAAATCGGAAGTTGTCAAAGATGAACTGGAACGCATCAACATCAATATCTTAGGCATTAGTGAGCTGAAATGGACTGGTATTGGCCATTTTGAATCTAATGACCACATGGTTTATTATGCTGGAAAAGACAAATTGAAAAGGAATGTTGTTGCATTCATCATCAAAAAGAACATATCCAGATCAGTCATGAGGTACAACGCTGTCTGTGATATGATAATATCCATGTGCCTACAGGGAAACCCAGTTAATACCACTATTATTCAAATGTATACACCAACCAAAAAAGCCAGTGAGGATGAAATAGAAGAATTCTACCAACTTCTCTAATCTGAAATCAATCAAAGGTGCAATCAAGATGTATTGATCATTACTGGTGATTGGGATGCAAAGGTTGGGCACAAAGAGGAAGGACCAGTAGTTGGAAAATATGGCCATGGTGATAGAGATGATGCTGGAGAACGCATGACAGAATTCCGCAAAACCAGTGATTTGTTCATTTCAAATACCTTCTTTAGACATGGACAACTATAGAGACGACTATACACATGGACCTCACCAGATGGGATACACAGATATCAAATTGACTACATCTGCGGAAAGAAATGATGGGAAAGTTCCATATCATCAGTCAAAACAAGGCCAGGGGCAGACTGTGGAACAGACCATCAATTACTCATAGGCAAATTCAAGCTGAAGCTCAAGAAAATGAAAACAAGTCCACGAGAGACAAAATAGGACCTTGAATATATCCCACCTAAATTAAGAGATTATCGGAAGAACAGATTTGATACATTAAACACTAAAGACCAAAGACCAGAAGAGTTGTGGGATGACATCAAGAACATCACACATGAAGAAAGCAAAAAGTCATTGAGATGATAAGACAGAAGGAAAAGGTCAAAATGGATGTCAGAAAAGACACTGAAACTTGCTCTCCAGCATAGAGATGCTAAAGCAAATGGAAAAAATGAGGAGGTCCAAGAGCTGAACAGAAAATTTCAAAGATCAGCTCGAGAAGATAAAGCCAAAAATTACAATAAAATGTGCAAAGATGTGGAATCAGAAAACCAAAAGTGAAGAACATGTTCAGCATTTCTCAAGCTGGGGGAACTGAGGAAAACATTTAAGCCTCAACTTTTGTTATTGAAAGATTCTCTGGGCAAATTTATTGAATGATGCAGAATGCATCAAGAGAAGATGGAAGGAATACACAGAGTTATTGTACCAAAAGGAAATGGTTAATGTTCAACCGTTTCAAGAGGTAGCATATGATCAAGAGCCAATGATACTGAAGGAGGAAGTCCAACATGCATTGAAGGAATTGGCAAAAACAAAGCACCAGGAATTGATGGAATAAAAATTGAAATCTTTCAAGAAAGTGAGGTGGCACAGGAGGCACTCACTCATCTATGCCAAGAAATTTGCAAGACAGCTATCTGGCCGACTGATTGGAAGAGATCCATATTTGTGCCCATTCCAAAGAGAGGTGACACAGTGGAATGTGGAGATTATCGGACAATCTCTTTGATAGCCCATGTAAGTAAAGTTTTACTAACGGTAATACAGAAACGGCTACAATCATACATTGACAGAGAACTTCCAGAGGTTCAAGCCAGATTCAGAAGAGGCCATGGAACGAGGGATATCATTGCTGATGTCCGATGGATCTTGACTGAAAGCAGAAAATATCAGAAAGTTGTTTACCTGTGCTTCATTGACTATGCAAGGCTCTCGATTGTGTGGATCATGACAAGCTATGGACAACATTGCGAAGTATGAGTATTCTGGAACACTTAATTGTGCTCATGAGGCATCTGTACCTGGACCAAGAAGCAGTTGTTCAAACAGATCATGGGAACACTGGATAGTCTAAAATTAAGAAAGGTGTGCGACAAGGTTGTATTCTTTCACCATACTTATTCAACCTGTATGCTGAGCAAATAATCCGAGAAGCTGGGTTCTATGAAGAAAAACATCACATCAGGATTGGAGGAAGACTCATTAGCAATCTGCGATATGCAAATGATACAACCTTGCTTGCTGAAAGTGAAGAGGACTTAAAACATTTACTGATGATGAGCAAAGAGTACAGCCTTCAGTATGGATTACATCTCAATGTAAAGAAAACAAAAATCCTCACCACTGGGCCAATAAACAACATTCTTATCAATGGAGAAAAGATTGAGGTTGTCAAGGACTTCATTCTTCTTGGATCAACTCTCAACACTCATGGAAGTAACAGTCAAGAAATCAAATGATGTATTGCATTAGGCAAATCTGCTGCACAAATTAAGGTGTGCCTGTCCCAAGCCATGGTATTTTCCATAACCTCATATGCATGCGAAAGCTGGACAGTGAATAAGGAAGACTGTCGAAGAATTGATGCATTTGAGTTATGGTGTTGGAGGAGAATATTGAAAGTGTCATGGGCAGCCAAAAGAACTGATAGATCTGTGCTGGAAGAAGTGCAGCCAGAGTGCTCCTTAGAGGCCAAGATGGTCAAACTTTGTCTCTCATGCTTCACACATATTGTCAGGAGGGACCAGTCGCTGGAGAAGGATATCATGTTTGGTAAGGTGGAGGGTCAGAGAAAAAGAGGAAGATCCCCAACTAGATGGACTGGCCAAGTGGCAGCATCGATGGACTCAAGCATGGCTACAGTAGTGATGTTGGCCCAGGATCTGGCAGTGTTTCGTTCTGCTGTGCAGAAGGTCGCTATGAGTCAGTACCGACTCGATGGAACCTAACAACAAGCCAGGAGCCTTAATAGCGTTAATAGCTATTACCTACTCTGCACACTCTAGGGTTACCTCTAGTTCCCCAGGCATCTTGGTGAGCTTCATTTAAGTGGCTGTTTTACAAAAAGATGCCCCCACTAACAGAAAACAGGGTTCGGGCTGGATTTCAGCATCCTACCCCAACTCGCCCCTAGCTGGGGCCTTTTGCTCAGGGTACAACCTGCATAGCTGTCCAGTGCTCACTCTGTACCAAACCACCATACTAAGTACTTTGTCTGGATTAGTATCTGAACCTCACAACAATCCTGTAGGGTGTCTATTATTAGTCCCCATTCTACTGGTGTCCCAGTGGAGATCTGAACCCAGACCTCTCTGGTTCCAGCACTTATGCAGTCCAACACAGCACCCCTTACCGCCTGCAGCTCCCTGTCCTGGAACAGCCGGGGCAGAAGGCACCGCCTCAGAGGCACCGTGAGCAGCAGCAGGAAGGGAAAGGCAAGGGAGGCTGCTGTGGACTTGACCACCCAGAGTAGAGCAATGCAGCTCAGCTGGATGCAGGTGAACAGGTGCATCCGCCACGTCTTCACCTGGGGAACAGGTATCAGGCCTCGCCATGTAGCGCCTGCGCGACCCCCGCCCCTGTACTCCCCATGCTCCCACTTACCCTCCCAAGCCGCCCGTCCATCTCTGGCCTGGGGATCCCTTTGGACACCCCATCTTCCCACCTCCATGCCCAGGTCCCACCTTGGTCACATAGGGTTGTTCAGGATGGTGTTTTGCCGGCATAAGGATGAGAAGCAGGCGCTGGGATAGCTGGATTCCCGACAGTGACGTAACCCCCATGTACAGGAAAATCCCAAAGAGCACAGCCAATGGGATCCGGCGCAATACAGCCCCCATGACGATGGACAGGCCTGCAGAGGTGACACACCCTACCTGACCCCTCAGCACAGCCCTGTGATGACAGACAGGCCCGTCTGATGGATAAATGCAGCTTTCATCCCCATGAACAAAAGGAGATGGGGCAGCAGAGAGCCAAGAACGGGCCCAGGAGGGGTGTGTGTGGAGTGTCAGGAAGCAGATCTGGGGCAAGAGCTGGACATGAGGAGATGCAGGAGGCACCAGAAAGCAAACAAGTTTAAGGCCAGGGGTCCTAGGCCTGATGGGAATGGATTTAAGGCCACACAGGTCCCAGGTGGTGGGTCTGGGGACCAAGGCTCACCCACGAGGCAGGCGATGAGCACACCGGTGACCCGCTGCTCCCGCACCTCCTGGATCTGGGGCTTGTCGCCTGGGGCGATGGCAGTACGCATCACAGTCAGCGCGTTGACATGGGTGACCGAGCGGACGGTGGCAGCTGTGAGCCAGGGCAGCCCAAACAGCCCACAGAGCCCGCCCAGGGAGCCTATCAGAAGCAGGTCCAGGTGAAAGCCCGAGCCTTTGAGCAGCCTCCGAGCCTTCTGGCTGACGATGAGCCTGTAGAAGAGACCAGGAGTGGGGGCCAGGCAGGCAGGAGGTGGGACAATGAGGGGGAAACGTGCAGAGGAGAGTTCCCCCTCCCCCGGGGACCAGCCAGCTGCTGCTCTCAGTTTCTCAGATGTGAGACTGCAGTTCTCCCATTTAAGTATATTTGAGTCGCACACCGAAGATTTAAAACACACAAATACCAGCTGCCAGATAGCACCCATCACTGAGGTTTCACCAAGGTGAGCATGCATGCACCACTGGGAGAGGGCGTGATGTCAGGGTGTCACGAGGGCTGGGAAGTGGCCCCTGCCCATGGTGGGGGTGGCAAACAGACACCATCAAAGCATCCTAGGAAACCCCTGCCTCACAAGCACACCTTCTGCAGTGGATTCCACCGTCTCCGCCCCTCCCCACCCCTTCCCATCCCTGCCAGCTCCAGACACACACTCCTTGCCTCAAGATCTACCCATCCTGTGCCCACACTGATAATCAGGTCCCTGCCCTAACCCTGAACCCATGCAGAAGCAGCCAGCCCAGCCCTCGCTCCATCCCCACCAGGGCCCCTGCCCTCACGCAGTGATCTGTGTCTCCATGAAGATCAGGATGAGGACCAGAAGGGCAGGAACTGCAGCTGCCACCATCATCCAGGGTGGGAATGGGCGGGCACTGCCCAGGGGTGGGATGAACCATGTACGCTTGTGGGGAGAAGTCACCGAGAGCCCAGTGGGCACCGTCAGCTTCTGCAGAGCAAGGAAGAAGACATGTCCAGCAACTGCTCCCACTGAGTTCGGCAGTGATGGACATGTGGGTGTGAACAGGTCTTAAGAAGTGAATTTTGCCTCCTCAAGGACCCACCAGAGGCCAGGAAAATGAAGTACTTATCTTCATTACTGCCAGATTTCATATTTGCAAATTCACCTACTTGCTAAAATTTATTTGTGAAACCAAAATCAATACTTGAGGCATATTGATCATGGGCCTGTGCAGAGCAGTGCAAATTTTGAGCCACCCAACACACAAGGCTACTTCACTAACCCAGCGTCCAGGGGGACTCTCTAGAAGCTAACTACCTTGAACCGTGCCTTCTCCCCACGCCCCGAGCTGTCAGGAAGACCTGGGCTTTCAACCCAGCCTCAGCCCCAGCCCTGCTACTCAAGACCCTTCACCTTTAAAGACCACACAGGCCTCCAGACCCTGGGGACCTCCTCAGCCAGAGTGACGAACAGGAGCTTTGGAAACTCCCCATCCATCAAGCAGGTGGTTACTGGGACATGGGTCCCAGCCCTGATCTTGGTCATGGACAATGGACGCATATTTGCAGACTTCTTTTCGGCCAGTGGGGGAGGTGGAAGAGGAGGTTCAGGGCTTACTCACCTGGGTGTAGGTGTCTGTGATGGAGTAATCAACCAGGACCATTACCAGAATGGAAATGGGAATGCCAAAGTCCCCGATGATGCGGCGCGCCTAAAGGGGCCAGCCAGGGGAGGGGAGAGGTCGAGGTTAGGGTCAGAAAACCACCCTGGGGCCTATTACCCCAACCCTCCTTGGGTCTGAGCTGGAGCCAGAAGCCCTCCAGCCTGTTCCTTAAAGCCCCCCACCCAGGTGCCAGCCCAGGATGATACTCCTCTCTTGACTCAGCTTCCTCGAGACAAGAGTAGAGCACACTAGGAAGGCCTCTGAAAGGTGGGGGCTTGGTGGGGTTCCCTGCATTGACAAGGAAAAGGGTACAGCCCCTTCTGGGAGGAACCTGGCAGCAGATGCAGGAATCCCAGGGACCCTACAGGGCTCCGCAGGCCCGAAGCCACACACCTTTCCACCTAGGAAACGGCTGTTCCTGAACTTGCGTAGGAAGAAGGCGATGAGGAAGGTCCCCAGCATGAGGATAAGCGACAGCAGAGCCGTGTTGGGCTGGTTCCTCGGGCCCAGTGGCCCCTCTGTGGGGGGCAGGGCACTCGTATTCAGGTCCAGGCCAGCCTCCAGGGCCCCCTCAGAGGGGTAAAATGGCAGCAGTGGGTGCTCGGTAAACACCTGTATGGGCAACAAGGATGGCCTACCGCTTACCTGGGCAGGTGACCCTGATTTCACCACCATCGATCCAGGTGTGAGGAAGAAAACTGGACCTTCACACACCTGAAGAGGCAGCAGTGACACAAACAGACATCCAGCCGCATCATGCACACATGCATGCACACATACACACAAATTTCCACAAAAGGAGACCCCATCCACCTGCCCCTGGACAATGACAGCCTACATCCACCACAGACCTGTGCAGGTAGCCCCCTCCACCACATACCTGTACAGATGAGTGCTTGGCCTCAGCCTCCAGCCACTTGTCTGGAGCCATGACCCATTGCTCAGACCTAGCCCAGTGTTCACTCTCATCCCTACTTCCACACTGAGAGAGCCCCCGTCTCCCTCCCATGCTCTGCCCCATGCCAAGTGGTGTAAACCCGCACCTTGTAGAGCTTGTAGAAGGTCTCATAGATGAAAATGAACGAGATAAGGAAGGCAAAGATCTCCTGGGTGAAAGGCGAGATGTAGCGGACCAGGAAGCTGCCTTCGGCGGCCACTAGGGCAAGGACGAAGACCACCAGCCAGAGGCCAACCCACACGCGGCCAGTGAGGTACTCCAGGTTCTGGGCTTGGCAGAACTGGAGGCACAAAGAGGGGTTAATACAGGTGTTCCACCCAGAATGCTGCCCCCCACAGGACAGGTGGGGGGCTCCAACAGGAAGCCAGAGCCCTGGGGAGCCAGCAAGGGGATGTCACCTTGAAGAATGCTTCTTCGAAGACAAGCAAGGGCCCGGAGAAGCCAACCACGAGCAGCGGCTGAGCCCCCAACAGTGAGAAGATCACACCCAGCACAGCCGTGGACACGATCAGCTCTGACACGCCCATCAACCCCTCAGTCTTCTCTCCTGGATGGGCAGAGTCCCCATGGCCGAGATGGCCAATTGACAGCCGGCTCCTCCTCCCCAGCCTACCGCCCCTCCACTGCCTTCTCCTACTGCTCCTAAGCTGGGCCCCCAACAAAAACAGAGCAAACCCACAGAGTGGTAGGAAAGGCCCCTCACCATTCCTGTCTCACAAGCTCTCACCTTCAGTCCCCACCTCACCGTCCCCTCCAAAGACAATCACTGGGAAGCCCATACTCAGCAGCTCCCCAAAGTGACACATCACCAATCAGCCCCTAAAGGTAATCACCGGGCCACCCTAACCCCTTACTTCTAGCCCCTCTTCTCTGTCTCTTACTAACAGCCCCTCAAAGTGACCACCGGGCCCACCCTCACCTAACAGCCCCCCAAAGGTGATGGCGGGGCTGAGGGCTGCGAAGTAGATGAAGAGTACGGCAGCCACACACTGGTAGTGTAGAGCATCCCGCAGGTCGCTGGGGTAGTGGGGGTACCGACGCTTCACATCCCGCACAAGCCCCCCAAACACTGAGCCAGTCCGTAGCAGGGGGTCATCTTCAGGGGTCACTTCGGAGCCCCCCAACTCCAAAGACAGCTCTGGGGACCAAGGGGCTGCTGGAACACAGGCTACCACCCTCCTGTCTGGAGGCCCCAGTCCCGGGACGGGTGGAGACACTGGGCAAGGTTCAAGTGCCATCAAGACAAAGGACTCAGGAGATGGCCTGGGGTTGGGGGGAGGGGGTCTGACCTTTCCCAGGTGCCGCACAGCTGCCTGTCATGGTTGTTTTTGCCTTGGTCTGCTCCCTTTCCCGCCGCTTCCTCAGCAACTCTCGCTGGAAGGCAGCCACAGAGCGCAGCAGGTCTCGGCCCTCTACCTCCGATGGTGGAATCACAATGCTGCCGTCCAAGAACTCACTGATGGCGCTCAGCAGGTCCTGCCGATCGTCTGCCTGGTAGGCTGCCTCGTGGAACAGCTGGGGATGGGGGGACATAAAGCTCAAAAAGGCCTGGGAGGCAGGAGGCTAGGGCAGGTCAGGGGCCTCCGGGACAAGGACTTTGGGGAAGGGGCAGGGTAGACGCTCGGTCACATGCACCATACAAACACCCCCAAGAACCCTGTCTTCCCCTAGGAGTTTCCAGACTTTTCCATAATGCAGCATCTAAAGGAGTAATGCCTGGTACAGTCAAGACCACCAGATCCACACCCTGGATGAATACTCTGAACATCATCCCTGGCTGGAGGAGCTTCTTGTCCAAGTCCAGGGGGAGCCACATACAGACCTTCCTGTGAGTCTCATGTCACATTGGAAGCTTTGGAGCCTGGATTTCTGTCCCTGCATCGATCCTGCCTCCCCCTCAGCCCACCACTCTCCAGAGAACTGTCTTCACCCAGAATTGTCTCTACCAGCCCTGTATCCATGGGCACTGCTATGCACAGTGGGATGGCCAGAGGGCAAGCAGGGGCAGGGAGACAAGCAAGCCCACCTTGTCAGACATGAGGGTGGCAATGGAGCGCCCCAGCTCATGATAATCAGTGCTCGTGTGGCTGGGCCCCAACATGACGAAGAGGAAGCGGACCGGCACAGGGACCTCGAGCACAGACTCCAGGAGCACAGCCTCACTCAGCCGCACAAAGGCTGCCGCTGGCTGCTCCAAGAAAGGCACACAGCCTGGGAGGAGAGGAAGGCACAGGCTGGGCAGAAGGCCCTGGACGGGAGGTCTGGGGCCACCATGTACAGCTGAGCAGGTTGCACACTGCACAAAGAAACCCCAAATCTAAACAAGTTCTATTCGTTTCTGTATACATTTTCATATTTACTGCAGTCTACCAACAGATGGAAGAGAAGGGTCTTAAGGAAGGGGTCTTTCTCTAACTCTCACCAAGGTGCTAGCAGGAGACTGGATATGAAGCAGGATCAGGGAAGAAAGGGCTGAGGGTGAGACGGGTTGTGAGGAAGAGCAGGGTAAGGTGGGGATGGAAGCAGGCCCCATGGAGGCCCACCCCTACTGCCCCCCGCCCTGGTACCCTGCCCTTCTCACCCACGAGCACCACAGTGGCCTCGGCATCTTCAGGAATCTTCTCTAACAGCTTCAGGCTCTTACCCCGGTGAGCATCTCCCCCAGGCATGTGGAGGGGCTTCTGAGGACGCAGAACTGGAATAGGGCTGGGACCCAGACCGGAGGCCGTGGCAGGCCCTCCCACCCTTGCTCCAGCCCTGGACTCTGCCCTCCAACCCCTAGACCTGGGCCCTGCTGGTGATGTGGTCCCACATCAGGATCTGGACCCTACTCTAAACCTTATTCAGTTTGTTAAAAGGCACCCATGGGTCAGATGCATCATCCTCTGCTTCTCCAGGGCAGGGACCCCCCCACCCCACCCCAGGCACACCTCCTTGAGGTGCCCCCACACAATTAGCCACATGCCAGGAGTCAACCATCCTGACCTGTGCAACACAGCTGTCCGCCACCTCCACTGAAGCCGGAAGCCTCAGCGGTCCCCAGCCCCAGTCCAAGTCAGGTGACTGACCTCCTTAGCGTCAGGGTCGTGAGGCCAGAGTGGGGTGGGCTCCCCAAGGTCATCGGCCATAGTGGGAGGTGCACCATCGGGGCCATGGCTGGGGGTCGGATGATGGTTCCCCAGGACAGAGTTCATGCTGGAGCTTGATGGGTTTCGAGGAAAAAAGCCACTGTCCTTGTCATCGTTGGGATGGCTGGTAAGAGAAGAAGGGGCCAGCAGGAGGTGAGAAACAGAGGGTCAGGGTGCCCTTCCTCTGCCTCAGTGTAAAAAAGTACTTTCTAGTGGTTGGCGCTGTCCTAGAAGCCACTTGGGAAGGCTCCCCTGACCGGGTGCTTGGCCCCAGCACCTGTGTTTAAGTAGCAAGGTGCGAAGGATGCTGGCCCTATCCTCTGGCCGGATCTGGTCAGATACGATCATGGTCTCCACCACCAGATGTGCAATGCCAGGCAGAGTGGTCTGCTCCAGGTCCAGGAGGGCAGCTCCTAGGGCACAAGCAGGGGAGAAGGCACAGCCTCGTCAGACAGGGAGAGCCACCCATTCCCTGCCTCGTGCCCCAGGGGCCAGGACACATGCTATGCAAGCAAACCACCCAATGCCCCAGGCCCCCCAGGGAGAGGAGAGGGTGCAGGAGCCCTGAGAGCCCCGCCCTTCCTCACCAGGAAGGGGAGGGCACTGGTTTTTCATTGCTCGTGTGTGTCCCTGCACAGCTGGCTGGAGACAGCTGGGGGAGTTGGGCCCCACATCTCCACTGGACCCAGGAATCAAGACCAGGAAGGAGGGAGTGCAGCACTCCTGGACTGCAAGGTCCCTACCTACCGTGGGCAATGGTCCTCCTGAGCTCCAGGAGGCTGCGGAAGGAGAGCGAGGCGACATGGGGCTTGCCCCAGCGCTCCGTCTCCTCCTCCACGTCCTCCTCAAACTTGATCCAGCGGGCTGTTTCCCTCCAGTGGGGCTCCTGGCCTCGGTCCATCATCAGCTCATTGAGCTCCACAAACACCTGGGGTGGACCGGGTGTGAGGCCTGGGACTGCCATGTGGGACAGGCTGGTACGGGCCAGTACTACACAAGGGGAAGGAAGGAGGGCTCCAGAGCAGAGAGGCAAGTCAGGGTCCTGTACCTCATGTGGTCTCCGGTCCAGCTTCTTCTTCTTCTTCTTCCTTCGCAGGATGGGGGCCAGGCCACCGGGGCTGCTCCTCCCACCCTGTGTCCGGGACGGCTTCTTTACCAGGTGCCGCCGTACCCCAGGGTTATCCTCCAGACGGTGACCTACGGAGGTCAGCTGGGTGGTCCCACGGGTCCAGCTCAGGGCCTCGGGGTCATGGCCCCTGCTCTGCCCACTTGGTGGTGGCCATGTTGGCAGGACCACATCATTCAACATGGCCATTTCATAGATAGGAAATAAAGGCCCAGAGAAGGGGAAAGACCAGCCCAAAGTCACACAGCAAACCAATAACTAAACCTCATTAAAAAAGGCAGATTCACAACTCAGTCCACAGTCACAGCATAGCCCCTGCTATGACCACTGCCCTCCACTCTAGGGTCCCTAGGTCGGAACCCCCCCACCGTCCTTGTGACCTGTCTCTATACCCACGTCTCAGCCCCACCAGCACACAACCAGGCACACTTGGGCAGAACTTCTCCCCTCATTCCCAGCCTGCCCCTTGCAGGCTGGCAGCTGAGGGACAAGTACTTACAAGTCGGTACCCCTGCCATGGGGCTCCACTGGCCTCTGATGGACGCCAACAGGTCATAATCCTCAAAGTCCAGTGCAAACATCTCTAAGTCCTCTGAGGCCAGTGAGTCTCGAGGGCTGGGGGCTGGAGCCCCTCCAGGGTCCTGACCCACAGTGTGCCAGGGACCAGGGCTCAGAGCCCCATTGGGCTTTGTGACATTCTCCTGAGGGCTCGCCATTTCCTGCTCCTTCCCAGAGTCCCGCCTCTCCTAGAGGGAGCCTGGAGACTGCTGGCTGGCCCCGGGACCCCAACTCTTCACTGCCCCAAGCCTGCTCCCTACTGCTGCCAGTACTGTAAACACTCCTCTGCCCTGGTCCACCCCCACCCCCACCCCAAAGCCACTGCTGCTGCTGCCATCGGATTGTTCCTGTCCCTGTCCTCAGGCTCTGGCAACTTTCCATGACGTAGTGAGCGCAAAGCCCTCCCCCCTCCCCCATACACTGCAGTTCCAAGAGGGGAGGAGGGCGGGGTCAGTGATGCCCCTGGCCTGGGCACAGCACTTCATGGGTGATGACAGGTGACACAGAAACCAAGGCACTGATAAGATGGAAGGAATGTGCCGAGATCACAGCTAGGCACTGCCAAGGTGGGACAGATAGGGGTAGGCTGACACAGGCCTTGGAGCCTGGCAGAGGGGGCCAAGCTCTAAAGGGATTAAAAGAATTGAGGCTGTTTGCCCAGAGATGAGAAGCTTTGGGGGAGGGGATTAAAGATATCTTCAAATATGTGAAGAGAGAGCAGCTATATTCTGGGGGTGACTCAGAGGACAGAATCAGGACCGAAGGGCAGAGCTGTCAAAATGGGAAATTTCAGCTCTGGTCCCAGAGAGGCAGTGAGCTCCCTATCACTAGCCATATTGCAACAGACAGGGATACTGCATAGGGGACTTGGCACTGGGGGAGGGGGGGGCCAGCACAGCACCACCCCAAGGTCCACAGTAGGCTGGGGACCATGGAGTGGTCAGGGGCTGGCCCTCAGGATGTACTCACTCTTCATGTCATCCAGGTCTGCAGAGCCCAACATCTGGGCCTCGGCCTCATCAGTGGGCACCTGCTGCTCCGGGCCACCCAGGCTGCCCAGGGCACTGCCTGGGCACAGCCGCTCCCGCAGGTCATAGCTAGCCAATGGGCTCCAGGACCGGTTCTTCTCCCCAGTGACTCTCGAGGCCCGGGCCTTGGGGCTGGAGTTGCTGAGGAGGCAACAGAGCAGCCTTGGGAATCACAGGAGAACGTGGTAGAGATGGCCTGGGGCAGGAGAGCAGTGGGCCAGGCCCTGGAGAGAGTCCCTTACTTCCCCCAGCTCAGACACCTGCTTCTTCTGCACAGACAAGCCCGCTGGCATGGGCCTTCCAACCCGCATCACTCTATCCCTTGCAGTCTCCAGGACACCTTCCTCAACTGTCCCCACCGTCCTCTCCACTCAGACACCTCTCCCTCTTTCCTCCTTTCTCCAGACAGAGAAGAAAAGGCCCCCACTCTCACCTCCCCAGGCCCTTTTCCAACTCTGGGGTCAGAGCTGGGAGGAGCACCCCAAAATCAGGAAGGAGGTGTAGGTCAGGCGCTTTGGACCTTACCACTGTTGTTGTTGTTGTTAAGTGCCATCGAGTCAGTTCCGACCCATAGTGACCCTCTAGAGGCTTTCCAAGGAGTGACTGGTGAGCTTGAACCACCAACCTTGCAGTTCAAACTGACTCTGCAGTCTAGCACATTAACCCATAGCGCCACACTAGGACTCCTTGGACCTTACCACTGTAGGATCACTGAAACAGGGAAGACCAGTACCTGCCCAAGTGCTGGGGGCTCCTGTCAGCACATGGGCCCAAGGAGGGCAGGGGCCTGACCGAGGCAGCTCTCCCTAGAAGTACAGGGCTCTCATCTTCATCACTTCCAATGGAGAACTGCGGACAAACAACATGTCACCTGGGTCCCTTCAAGCCCCTTCACCCTGCCATTCCCCTCTGTGCTCCACCTTGACCAATCAGCCCCTCCACCAAGGGACAGCCCCCTACCTTGGCTTTCTGTGGCGATGCCAAGGGTGGGGGCTCCGAACGTTCTGCTTCTGACTCCCCTTCCTCCTCTTCTTCCTCCTCCTCTTCTTCCTCCTCCTCCTCTGCCCCAGCTCCCCCCTCCTCCTGGATGGGAGGGGTCCCCTCAGAGGGGGGGGCAGAGGTTTTCTCCTTTCTCTTCCTCCTGGTGTGCCGGGTAGAGGTGGGGGGCGGTCGCCAAAGCTTGTGGGGTGGAGGCAGGCGCGCCGAGAGCGGGTGGTGGGTATGATGGGATGTGTGCCGGTGAACTGGGGGTGCAGGAGAGTACGTTGGGGTCCTGCTGAAGACTGGGCCCCTCACCACCCTAGGGGCACACACCTGATTCTAGCTTAAGTCCTAGAATAAGAGCACCCCAGAGTCAGGACCTCTAGCATCAGGCTCCCCACAACACCCAGGTCTATGTGCCTGCCATTGGCAAGGCCTAGATGAGTGGGAGACAGGAGGGATGGGGAGTCATGAAGTGGGAGGGGAAAGGGCTCATGATATATCAAGGGGAGGGCCAGCAGAGTCAGATGAGCTTGGGGGGGGTGGGGGATGAGGGGCAGAGGGGGGGGCCAGAGATGAGGCAGAGCCAAGGAGAAGGTCTGGAGGGAAGTCTGGCCTATGTCCCTACATCTCCCCTGGATCTGGGCCCTTCTCCCCTCTACAGTGGACAGGTTATGGGTGAGGCAGGATGACCCAGGGTGACCCAGCACAAAATCCAGCACAGCGCCAACACCGGACGGCACTTGGTGGCCAAGGCATGGTGAGCAGTGATGGAGGCGATGAAGGTGGTGGTGGTGAAGGTGATGGGGACCGGCTGCACTAGGGGTCCCCAGGCTACCCACACTCAAAGTCCCGCTCGCTGTAGCTGCGGCTGGGCTTCTCAGGGTCCCAGGCCGGGGGCTTGCTGATGAGGTCCCCAAACCTGCTCACAGCCAAGGTCTTGCCCAAGTCATCATCATCCTCCTCTGAGTCTGGACCCAAAGGGGGTTCCTCCAAGGGCACCCGGACCTGCAGGTCCAGACAGTCTCTCCTAAGGCCCTGTCCTGTGCACCCCCACCCCCACGCTAAGGACTGGTTGGAGCCGGGGTAGCCAGCAGGCTTCACTCTCAACTACCCCTTCTCTTAGTCCCAGGTGGGGGTCAGTACCCCAGAAGGCACCCTTCCAGACTCTCAGGGGTTGGGAAGAGTGGGCAATGGATCCAGAAAAGACCCAAAGAACCTCTCTTCTTCCATCTTCCCCAGGGTCGACCAGAGGACACCCCTCCCTCCCGTGGGGTCCCTCCCCCTCCTCCTCTATCCCCACACGTCCATCACCTGGGGCAGTGGGGAGGCGCCCCCGGGCGGCGGGATCACTCCGTTGGCCATGGCTGAGGCGGCGGCTGAGCAGGCTCCCGCTCACTCAGGGACCCGTGACCCGGGTGAGAAGAAGGGGGCGCTGCGGGGGCCTAGTGGAGCGCCCTGAGGGAGGAGGGTGGGGTCAGCGCCTCCCCGCTCCTTCCCAGCCCGGGCCCCTTCCCAGTTCGGCCGCCCCGCGGTACCTTGGGGCTGCGGAGCCAGCGGGGCCCAGGCGGGCCGCCGCGCCCCATGCCCTCCCGCTTCGGGCGCGGCCGCCGGGCTCTCACTCGGCCTCTGGCGCGCACTGGGCGGAAAGGGAGCCTGCGGCCGCGGCGCACACACGGCCGGGCGGACGCAGGCGCCGGAGTCTGCACCGCGGCTCCACCTCCTCGCGCTCGGCACCGCAGCTCCGCCGCCGCCGCCGCCGCCGCCGCGGCCGGTCGCACAATGGGAGCGGGCGGGCAGTGACTCACCCCGCCCCGGTCCCCACGCGCTGCCCACGCGGGACCCCACCGCTCACCAGCCCCTTCTCCAGGAGTCCCGCGCAGTACGACCCCGAATTCCCACAACCCCCAAGCTCACCCCCACCTTGCTTTTAGCCAACCCCAGGCATCCCGAAGCTAGCCCCCTCCGCAGACACAAACCCCTCCAACCTTGGACACTGAGCTTAGGGACAGACCTGGGAGCTCCCCGCCACCTCCCCATTCCATCTAAGAAACCCTGGTGCCCCTCCAAGGCCTGCCTTTTGCTTTCCTAGCACCACCCAACGTTTGACCTTGGCAAATTACCGCCCTTTCTTGGACCTCAGTTTCCACATCTGTAACCAAAAGATCCTGGAAGAAACATGTTCCAAAGTTCTATCCAGGATTCTGTGGCTCAGTTTCTATATTTTCTCTTTCCCACTCCTGCCCCTGAGGTCACATCCCCTTTTCCAAGGACAAAGGTTTTTAGAAGTTACTTGGGCCAACTTGACTCTTATGAAGTTCTCCCTGAAACTGGACACCTAGACCACATCAAGCCCATCACAACCCTTCATAAACATCTGTCAAACTTCAGTCCCTGAATTCTGAGGACCAGCAGAATGGGACCTAGGATTAGGACTAGGACTGGAGCTGATGGGGAGAAGGTAGAATAGAACTGACCAGACCCAGGAGGTCAGGGGGCCAAGCACATGAGATCAGCAAAGAGAAAGGGCATGGGGCCTAACTGTGCTGTGTTGGGAGAGGATCAGTTCTGTGGCCTTGGGCATGTAATTCATCCTCTGTGATCCTTTTCTGGGTCTTGGCACCACCCAAGGAAATACTGTCTCCATTCAGAGCCATCCAGGGGCAAGAGAGAACAGAGTGGATATTTACTGAGCACCCACTTTGCTTTGTGTCTTAGTACCATACTAGGCCCTCTCCATGCTCTGTGCCTCTTCTTAGCCTTGCCACAACCCTAGGAAGGGGACCATTAGTATTCCTATTTCAGCATCAAGATTCCAGATAGTGCTTTAGCTTGCCCTGTCTGGGAAGAAAGCATCACCAGCGAGCAGCAAAGCCAAGGTCATTGGACTGTCCCAAGCCTCTTTTAATGAAATGCTGTGCTTGTCCCCGGCCTTTCAAGGGGTTGAGAGGGTGACACCAGAGGACAGGATGGGAGGGCAGGAAGTGTGTGTAGGAAGTGTGTGTGGATTGTACATCCCAACCCAGGATAAGAGAACCATCTCATCCTTTATCCTCTGAGCCAGGTAACTTGGCTCCTAGTCTGTACCTTAAGTGTTGTTCTAGCAGTTCCTTTACTTCCTTAGAACATTCCAGGAGAACTTTCTGGTCTTCAGTCCACTCTTGACATCTTGGTCATGCTCATAATCCCAGATCCCAATTGGACAGTAGAAGCTTGAAGAGGGTGCTAACCTGTGACTGGTGCAGTGGGCCTTGTACACCATGAGAATACCATATGTGATGCCATGAGATTACTACATGGCTTGTTCTTCTAAGGCTTCACCATGCCTCAAGGAGGATGCTGGGTACAGAATCATCTTCTGGACCTCTTAGACTCGCATCCTCTTTCTGGTCTTGTGAACGTCTCCCACCCACCCAGAGTAAACAGCTCTGACCTCAGATCTTGTAAGTATCATCTTCTATCCCGTATCTCTCTGAGATGATAGAGTAAACTCTTCTGAAAGGGCCTGTCGCAGCTCATGTTCATATCTCTACAGCATGGGGGGTGGAGAAGGAGATGGTGTCATCCACCAGTCATTTCAGACTAGCTCATCCCATTAGAAAACAGCTGCCATAGTACATTGACAGATGAGGACATAGAATGAAGGACATCATTGCTGATGTCAGATGATTCTTGGCTGAAAGCAGAGAATACCAGAAAGATGTTTACCTGTACTTTATTGACTCCGCAAAAGATTTCAACTCCATGGATCATGACAAGCTGTAGAAAACATTGCTGAGAATGAGTATTCCATATACTTAATTGTGCTCATATGAAACCTGTATATAGACCAAGAGGCAGTCATTGTAGCAGAACAAAGGGACACTGAAAGGTTTAAAATCAGGAAGAGTGTGCACCAGGGTTATGTTCTTTCACCATACTTATTCAATCTCTATGATGAGCAAATAATCTGAGAAACTGCATTATATGAAGAAGAATGTGACATTAGGATTGGAGGAAGACTTATTAACAACTGTGAAATGCAGATAATACAACCATGGTTGCTGAAAGCAAAGAGGACTTGAAATGCTAAATGGTAAGATCAAAGGACACAGTCTTCAGTATGGGCTGCACTTCAATGTAAAGAAAACAAAAATCCTTACCACTGGACCAATAGATAACATCATGATAAATGGAGAAAAGATAAAAGTTGTCAAATATGTTATTTTGCTTGGATCCACCTTCAGCACTCATGGAATCAGCAGTCAAGAAATCAAATGACATATTGTATTAGGTAAACCTGCTGCACAAGACCTCTTTAAAATGTTCAAGAACAAAGATGTTGGTTTGCGGACTAAAGTGCTCCTGACCCAAGCCATGGTATTTTCAATAGCCTCGTATGTATGTGAAAGTTGGACAGTGAACAAGGAAGACCGTAGAAGAATTGATGCTATGGTGGTGGAGGAGAATATTAAAGGTACCATGGATCTCCAGAACAAACCAATCTGTGGTAGAAGAAGTACAGCCAGAATGCTCTTTAGAAGCCAGGATGGCCAGACTTTGTCTCTCAGACTTTGGATATGTTATCAGGAGGGACCAGCCCCTGGAGAAGGACCCATGCTCGGTAAAGTGGAAGGTCGGCGAAAAAGGGGGAGACCCCAACAATGGATTGGCACAATGGCAGCAGCAGAGGGCTCAAGTGTAGCAGCAATTGTGAGGATGGTGTGGGAACAGGCGGTGTTTCATTCTGTTGTACACAGGGTCGCTATGGGTTGGAGCCGACTCGACAGCAGCTAACAAAACAACATCTCATTAGACATAAATGTATACTTCCATATTTCTATATTCCCACTCAGATCTCTTAGCCTGGAGGCTTTTCCACTATTCTACTGCCTCCTCCTCACCTGTACTTGTCAGTCTACTACACACACTGTATTCCCTGATGATCCCTACATTCCTGTGACAAGAGTGCTCATTGCATGCACGAAAAATGACCACTGAGTGTGTGTGGTTGTGAGACAGGTAGAAAAAGGGGTCCAGAAATCAGGATTAAGCATGAGTCACTTACTGACTGTAATCGTGTCACCAAAATCCTGAGGAATGTTGAAGCCTACTCCAGTCTTTGCATGAGAAATTGTAAAGGTGCTCAGGACATGCCCAAGGCACATGGCTGAGTAGCCACATCCTGGGACATAACATAAAGAAAGGCCACCCATAAAAATTCCCTATTTTATGGAACTTGCCATTAAGGAAGACCATCCATAAAAATTCTGTATTTTTACTCCCTTGTGAGATATTTTATAGATGGGGCTAGTTTACCTAGTGCCCTAGGCATAACATTAAAGGACAAACCTTCTACTGGGGCAGAGGAGACTGTCAGACCCTGGGAGGGATTTGAACCAGAGTCTGAAGAACTACACACACTCAACATCCCAGAATAAGTTCTGTCTCTCCTACCAGAGTCCTTTGCAGTGGAATCCATCTTGAAGATGCACCCAGTTAGTATGGTCCCTCCTAAAAGGACCATTTACTGAAAATCCCTGCCTATCCCCAAACCTTTTAAAGAAAGCCTTTGTTCAGGGAGACGGGAGTTAAATGTTGCATAAAGCCCTCCCTGTCTCTACCAAGCCTCTTTCCTATAATAAACCTTTGCTCGTATGGAAATTCTTCCTCACCTGACTATTCTTAATCAGAAGGCAAGAGCCCGCTCTTGAAGGGTGGAGATACGGTTAGCACTCCCTGTGTAGCATCTGTGTATGAGAAAGGTTTAAACGGTGACAGGAAAAGTGACAGCAAAGGCAGAAGCCAGCAACAGGCGAGCTCAGAGCTGTATTCACCCCTCACATCCTCCTCCGCAGACCAGTCTGACTTGAACTTAGCTACCCTACATGCTAAGGTATCATAGTGGGTTATGCATTGGGCTGCTAAACACAAGTTCGGCAGTTCAGATCTGGTAGCCCCGCCATGATAGAAAGATGAGGCTCTCTGCTCCCATAAATACTTACAGCCTCAGAACCCCTCTGTAAGGTTGCTATGAGTCAGAACCACCTTCACGGCACATTACCACCACTACCACCCTATATACTTTGAGTTGGAACTGACTGAGATCCTAAAAAACATGCCTGGGACATGTAACCTCACAAAGGCCTGTCCTATAATCCAAAGAAACATTACACAAGCTCCCCGGAGTGGGTACAACAGCACACCATGCTCTGGATTCCTCACGAATGGATCAGGAGCCCTCTTGAGGGAGATCTTCTCATGGCCAGCCCCTAGAATCATTGTTTCTAGGTCAAGCATGTTGAGATCTAGACTGGTCTAATAGATACTTGTCAATCTTTGAAAACCCCTCTCCACATTTTGGTCATCTGACACATTTTGAATCTTGTCTTTCCAAGTGAAAGCCAGACAACTCACATGCCCAGATGCTCTTGCAGCTAGAGTACAAATACACAACCTGAGTCTCACCAGTCTGGTGCACAAGCCCTGGTTTCAAACGTGTGCAGTGTGCACAGAAACACATTCTTCTGCAAGCACAGGTGAGAAGCCACACAGCTGTCCTGAGGGACAGTAGTGTTTCTGCTAGAGAAACTCTTTTATCACGTGGCCATTCACTATTATTAAGTCAGTCCTCTCCCAAAGGCCATCTAATATTTATTA